CTCCCAGATTAAGATAGGTCAGAAGGAGTAACTGGAAATCTTACAGGAACCAGTTTCTCTGACATTCCAAGACCAAACTAGTTTTGATATGATCTTCTCAGTTGATCTGAACCTAACTCTTGGATATTGTCCCATTACTAGTCACTACTTTTCTAAAATAGGTGCAGGTAACTTTCCAATTGCAGATTAGGCTACCATCCCCTTGGAATACAATACAATACAATACAATACAAAGTAGTCCATTATAAATGTTTCCTTGTAGACGACAGTATTTGCTCAAGTAAATACCCACCCATGTTTTGGAATAGCACGTTTCCATGGTCATCTCCATGCTTCTGTTGTCATTAAAACAGTGTCTTAAGACGCTGTGTGTATATAATTTCCCATCCGTTTCCTTTAAAAGCCACAATGTTCTGGCAGCTTCTGTTTCAAGTGAAGAAAGGTCACTTTACCTGATTAGGTTGTTCGTTTTATATTTTTTTTTAAAAAGGAAGGCGGGTTGAAATCAAAACGAAACATTTCAATTGATCTGACCTGAACTATATTTAAAAAAAAAAAATTTGGTTCATGAAAATTTTTGAGATTTTGATGTTTCGTCCTGATTCAGGACAGGAACTTTTTTTGAACTCTCAAAAATTTTTGTGGGAAAGGAAACTGTTTCCCACGTAACTTTTTTCTTGCATCTTCCTCTGAAAGAGTTTGATCTAGTTAGCCAATGACTGTGTAGCCCTGAATTGGCACATTTTAATGGTGCTCATGTTTGCAAAGCACTCAGCAGAGTGGAAGAGCCGTACCAGTACTAAGCAATGTTATTAAGTTGCACGTTTTTTCCCCATTCTCTTTTGATCTCTGGCTTCTTCAGTTTACTGCCGATTGTTCCCCAAGGCACCATGCTGCAACGTCATTGACACGGAGATTGAGGTCATGAGGTTGTACATACACAACAGCTGCAACTCTCCATTTATTCTTGGGCAGGAATTTGTCTGGCACTGCTTAGGCCTTTGGATGATTTGATCTTGGGCTTTTAAACAGGACTTGCCCTGATGTTAATAATTGTAGTTTCCTGTGCTCGAGAGGTAATATGAGCTAAGGGTTTGCTAGTGGTCAGATGAAAGTCCTGTGCAATCATCTACTGTACCACTTGAGTCAGAGTTTTGCTAAAATCAGACCAAGGACCTCTCTTAGTGAGTGCACAGCAGGTTTATTTAGATTCTTATATCACCCACAGTACCACTGGAATGGGATCCTTCAGTGTTCATGTGTGAAATCTGGAGTTACGGAAGCCCACTGCTGCTGAGAACGTGTTCCCTTTGGTGGTGGGGAGGGAAATGACGTGGGAGAGGGTGGGGAAGAATTTAAAATGTCAGAAACATTTTTGATGAATTAGCATAGAAAGTTTAATCCTGCACTTGCCAGATTTACTGATAAAAGGCACCACTCTACTTCTACCATGATGCCAGTGGAAATTTGCCAGCTAATAACAGCTAGGTAGATGGCCAGTAGGGAGTCCTGATATTTGGCCAGTAGGGAGTCCTGATATTTGTTTGCTTGCTTATATTTACAAAAAAAAACCCAAACCTTGTAAGCATCCAATAGTGTGGTAGCTAACATGCCTAACTGCATGATCTGATGATTGTATCCTCATCATCCCTCCTCATTCCTTTTGATTGCTCCAGCCCCGGTTATGGAACATTTCTGGCACATTGCCAGAACATAATTATTTATATTCTGGTAGTACCTGGAGGCCCCGAGCAAGGATCAGGGCCCCAGGGTCTGGGTGCTGTACAGACACGGATAAAGGAACTCTGAAGAGCTTGCAATTCAACTGAAAAAAAGAAGCAACAGGGGCTGGAGCAATCAGAAGGAATGAGGAGGGATGATGAGGGTACAGTCATCAGATCATGCAGTTGAATTTCAGTTGAATTGCAAGTAATTCTAAGGGCTTTGGGTCAGGGATTTTTTCTTCTTGCGTATCTGCATAGTACATGGCACACTACTGGTGCTATTCTAAATCAGTGGGATGCAGTGAGAGTGAAGAAATCAGGGTCTGACCTTGGAAGTTAGTGGGGTTCATGAGACATGTAAGGGTAGATGGAACCAGCCTAGCAAGCTGTGTGAGGTATTTTCTGTGTAATAAATCATACCGCTGGCGATAACATCCATGTGACAATGTTTCTTTCAAGTGGCTGGTTCACGCCGCTGTATTACCGGCTGCTTGCTTTCATCTCCTTTAGCTCAAGTGGCAGAAACTTGTGGCTTTGGTGATGAACGTCTTAGGCTCAATCTCCACAGGTGACCATGTGTCCGTCTGTACGCATGCAGCCACGTTTCATTGCATCCAATTGATGGAAAGTGACCTTGCTTGGTCACTACAAAGCTCGGGATACTCACGTTTTCTTTATAGCAGTTACAACACACCATCTGTATTTCTTGTATTGGCTTCTGGTAGTTTGGTGATCTGGAGGGGCAATGCTCCTCACTCCAAGTCAAAGTCTTTCCCCCAGTATAAGATGGTTCCTGTGATTTGCATCTTTTGGCAGAGTTTTATTTTATAAATTGGGACCTTGCAATTATTCTTGTTCATGTCTGCGTGCAACAGGTGTCACTTTCAGTATAGTACAGAGGAATCCCAAAATAGCTCAGACTCTGAAGGAAAAAATACTGGTTATTTCAGCCTCAGCTGTACTGAAAACCCCAAACTCACAGCCCATTCTGAAATCTGGTATTAATATGGCAGGTGTATCAATTTTGTGGTGTTCTCCTGTATTTATTTTTTTCCATACTGATGCTCTTTCTTGCGCAGATTCTTTCATATGCTGTTGGCTTTTCACTAGCATCCACACAGCTGTCTGGTTGCTCAAATGCTATACCTGCCTTAGCCTTCCTCTGGGTTTCCCTCGTTCAGATGTTCTCAAACTGTGGTCTGCGAGCTCCGTTCAGGTGGTCTGCGGATAGTTCCTTCTAAGGTGCGCTCCTGGGCAGTTGCACACGAGAGAATGAAGGGCCACCCACCTAATTAGTGGAGCCGCGCAGGTGTGCCTCCACTAATTAGGAGTCTGGACCTGGAGAAGATGCACCTGTAAGGTGAGGTGGTGGCCTTGGGGGGAATAGGTGGTAGGTATGAGGGGCAGTGGGGTGAGAAGAGTGGGTGAGGGGGAATTTGGGACATGCAGGGCTGCGGCAGCCAGAGAAAGAGGTGACTTTCCCCAGCTCCAGGGCTGCAGCTGCTGGGGAGAGACGGCCCCCCTTCCCAGCCCCAGCTCGGGGACTGCTGCGGCGGAAGAGAGAGGGCACATTCTTTGCTATTAGAAAGGTAAGACTACTGATACTAAAATATGAGTTGTGTGCTTTTATTTATAGAACAAAAAAGTTAATTACGTTTTTTTTTATATATATAGTGCTTTTATCCAAAGCGCTTTACAATATTTAGCTAATGGTACAAACAACATTTGTAAAGATCATTAAGTAGTCCGCTGAGACCCTCAGCAATTT